CCGGGAGTCTCTATGCATTTGCGGGAGACTCTCGGAACTTCCGGGAGACTTGGGATGTCTGAAATAGAGCTACGTTTTAAGAATGAGCCTATGTTGTGTGATAGACATCCACTTGAAATGGTCCTGAAATGAGAATGAAATGTAGGGCGATGTATTATTTTGCTCTTTGGCAACCGATTGGGTTGTTGAAAGATGGAGGTTTCTAATAAAATGAAGGAAAATTGACGAATGAAGGAATTTAGAGCAATTCAGTTGGATTCAAGTTTATTTGTATAGCACTTTTCACAATAATCAGAATGAGAAACAAGACACCCACTGATAGCCCCACCCTAAATAACTGATAGCTCCGCCTCAAAGAAATTCCATGTGACCAGGAAGTCAAGAAAAATTGTTTTGAGGGGGATATTAAGAAATATTATATTCATACACTGTAAAACCCTACAGTCAACTTTATCAAATGAAATGAGTGTGGTTAACTCAAAATTTACTGAAAGTTAATTCTACTCATTTGAAAAGAGTTTTGAACTCAGTGTTGAAGGTATTGAGTTAATTAAATACCTCATTACTTCAACTTAAATGGAGTGAGCTTACAGTACTCATATAGATAAGTTTTTAACTCAAATGTTTTTTTTTTTTTTTTTTTTGCAATTTGTTTCCTCAAACAGTTTGAGTTGCCTTAACTGGGTTTTACAGTACTCAGTTGGTTTGAGTTCTCTTCATTTATTGGGTTTTACTGTGCTAAAATTGCTTCATTTACTCAAATGGATTAAATTCACAGCACTCATTAGTATTACTTTTTGAGCTTAAATGGTTTGTTGCAATTGGTTTCCTCAAATGGTTTGAGTTGCTATAAATGTTGGGGTTTTACAGTGTACAAAAATAAGAGTAAATTTCATGACCACTTTTAGCAATATAATGTCAGATCTAAGAAATATTGCATTAAATACAATTATATTTTTTTACAGATTATTTTCAAACAGTTTCCAACATGCCTACAATGGTCACAGCAAACAGTGAGTCTTTGCTATTGAAATTTCTCATATTTTTTCTGGTGTTCAGTGTTTTGTAAAGTAATTCATTTCAGGCGTTGGTTCATGGATTACGTTGGTATCTTGGGTTCAAATTTAGGGTCTCTTGCAACATAGGCTCATTCTGAAAAGGTAGCCCTATACATTTCTCGAGATTGTGAATTATGTTGCCAGAGGAACGTATGGCTGTATTTCGTCTAAGCGGTGGTATGATGCCGTTTCTTTTCGCATTTACCTCTTACCTGTATGTGGACGGCTTTTTTACTGTTACAAGTTTGTCTAGTGGTTTGCAGTGCACATCGGAGGATTTAAGACACGTAGTGTAGTTGACTGCGACCAAGGGGTTCAAGTCCGATAAAGAATGTTTTTAGAAAGCATGTAAGACCAAAAAAAAGGCAAAAAAATTTAATAAACAAGTAAATAACAGGGTGAGAATGTGATAAAATCTGAAAATGTGGTAAAAATCAAGCAGCTGCAAGGGCTGTTTTGAAAACACTGTCGGTTGAGTTTAGAGAAGGTAGTGAGGGGTTATTCGGTGCTTTTTAAAACACTATCGGTTGGGTTTAGGGAAGGGGGTGGGTGTCAGTCTGTCAGTCGACAGCAGCCTCTGGTGGATTTCTGAGAACAGCAGGCGCGAATGCCACTTGCGAAAGAAATTTGAGATCTCAAAAAGCATGCACAGTGGCCTCTGGTGGATTCACAAAAAAAAAAAAAAAAAAAAATTTAAACGTAGCTTGTGAATGTATTTTGTGCTCTCCAGAAATTTACAAAGCGGTGTATGTGAACAGAATGAGCTTAGGTTGGTCTCTTTAGGAAAACTATATTATTACGCAATTAATATGATTTTAAATGATAAAAAATTGTTAAATGTTATTATATTCTCTGAGATGCTTGCATTATCACTTTTTTTCTCACAGGTAGTTTGGAGATTGTCTTGATGATTTACATTATTGTAACTCTGCTCTTCATCTGTGCACTGTTGACCTACGTTTACCTCAAAAGACAGCAAGACAAACAAGTCACACAAGGTAACAAGGTAACTCTTCAACACCCTCACTACTTTGTTCATTTTTATAGAGGTGTTCAATATTCCATTTCTGTCTGGAGTTTGCATGTTCTCTCCATGTTGGCGTGGGTTTCCTCAAGGTGCCCCGGTTTCCCCCACAGTCCATGCACTATAGGTGAATTGGATGAACTAAATTGGGCGTAGTGTATGAGTGTGGGTGAATGAGAGAGTGTGTGGGTGTTTCCCAGTACTGGGTTGTGGCTGAAAGGGCATCTGCTGCGTAAAACATATCCTGGAATAGTTGGCTGTTCATTCCGATGTGGTGACCCCTGATTAATAAAGAACTAAGCCAAATAAAAATGAATAATAAATGATTGTTCAATATTCATCATGTGCAGTAACATAATAGTAATACTATAATAATACAAACAAAAACACACCTTGAGAGTTCAAAAGCATTCATTAGGAATTGCAATTCAGGAGGGCTCACCCCTATGCCCTAAACACTTTGAAGGGTTTACTCTCTGGAGTGTCAGCTTTGAAAGTATGAGTGCATAGTAGGGATGAGTCATGCTGTGTGTGAAATCAAACATCTTTCCAGTATAAAAAGTTTATGGGGGCCTGAAATGTCCATCAGTAGTTAATAAGAGCTCTTTAAAGTGTCCAGTCTTAAGCATTTGTGTTTGGAACAACACTTCAACGTGTCCATGATTGTATTAGAACACTGGCTCTTTGTGAAAATGTTCCCTTGTATACATTTCTTGAGAGTTTGAATTATGTAGCCAGAGCTATGTATGGCTGTATTTCGTCTTTTAAAACAAACACTACGGGGCAGTATGATGCCACAGATGGCTTCTGTTTCTTTTTGCACTACCAGCTGACTGTTTACCTCTGTGTGGACAACTTTTTCACTGTCACCAGTTTGTCAGTGGCTTGCAATGTACGTCACAGACTTGAGATGCAGGACGGAGTCAACAACAGGGTTACGATCTGGTGAAGAATGGTTCGCAAAAACAACAGGCAAAAAAAATAAAATAAAATAAACAAGTAAATAACAGGGTCAGAACGTGGTAACATCTGAAAATGTCGTAAAATCAGGTGGCCTTGAGGGCTTTTCTTTTCTGGATTGCTTTTAAAGACATTATTGGTTAGGTTTAGGGAAGTGGGTGGGTCAGTCAATTGGTCAGTCAGTCAGTCGACAGTGGCCTCTGGTGGAAAGCAAGTGCAAATGGCACTCACGAGAGAAATTTGAGATCTGAAAAAGCATACACAGCGGCCTCTGACAGATTCGCAAATACAAAAACTGCAAAAAGAAAAAAAACAATGTTGTACCAAAGAAGGTACAAACCCTTGTCACTGGGGCTGTACCTTCTAATGGGACAGAAATGTACCTTAAGACAAAAAAACACATTTGTACAACTGCAGTTTGTTCCTTTAAGGACATGATTTGTACCATGGGAAGCCAAAATGTACCTTTTGTTTTTAAAACCTGCAGATACAATATTGTTCCTTCATCAAAGGTACAGGTCTGATCCATGAAGGTACGACCACAGTGACAAGACACTTCGTACCTTAACAGTGTCAAATGTGTTCCTTCAAGAACTATTTAAAGGCATTTTGCTTTATCCAAAATGTGTCAGTTTATTTTCAGTAAATATCAAATATCAAATATATTTTAAACATTGTTTTTAAAATAGGTTTCTTTTTGTGCAAATGCACCTTTTCTATTTACAATAAAGAATAAAAAAACTACTTTAACATAAATCAATAGATCTATTTTTGGCTAAACATTTCACACTTTTCCCAAAATTGTTACAGAAACACATTCTCCCATGTACAAAATAAAACTTTTTTTCTCCAATTTTCACATAATACCTTTGTAATCACTTAAAAGTTTAATTTAAATTTAATTTACTTAATTTTTAAAAAGAAATAGAATTATGCAAAAGTATTGTAATGAGATTTGCACAATGTTTGATTAGCTTTACAATACTAAAATATCTGCATGAATACTTTGCATATGCAGGACTTTTGCCAGTTCATGTAATGGAAAGCAAACACCAAAAGGTGAGGATATCAATAAAAAACATTTGGTAAGCAAATTGTTAATTGAAAATGCCTTAAATGTTTAGTTTACAATACCTTTAGTTTTGTTTTACCAGTTGTTTTGTTGTATAGAACTTTATAATCAATGTTTATGAGTTTCTTCAAACATATGCTTTTAAATGATGATTTATGTTTTAATATGGAAATTATTCATAAATCACTTTGCCTTTCCAGTAATATTTATTTAGATATTGTAATAAGGAAGCAGTTGTTTAACACTTATATACCTTTTTTATGAGAACAATTGTGTATCTTCATTTCAGTTGTACCATAAAAGGCTCAGAACAGTATCATAAGAGGTCTTTTCTGTACCATATAAGGTACAACTTTTACAAAGGTACAAAGTGGTTCCTTAAGGAACATTATTTTTACCACCGTGTACCTTTTTTTTTTGAGAGTGTGTCCACTAAAGTGGCATAAAACCTCTCAGGATATGTAGTAAACATAGACACCAATATTTATAGCTCTTTCATTTTTATATGTGTTTTTCCCCAATGTAAAGCAGATGATGATGCTATAGAGTCAGGAGAAGGACAGAATCAAGACCTGGAGGTTGGAGAAACACAGATGAACAAAACTGAAGAGGTAAAACAAGGTGATAATGTTTTTGTGCCTGATGAAGAAAGGGGGAACACAGAGAAAGCTGAAGTTACTGCTGTGATACAAGAAAATAAGACTCTTGTGGACATTGAACGAGGTACATTTCTAGTGAATAACAATACAGACAAGAGCGTCTTCCTTCCTAACACTGAAGAAAACACACATCTAATGTCTGCTGTTGAAGAAAAGAGAGTTTATGTGCTGGAAAGCATTGTTTCAGTTCTGTGAAACTGCCAGGAAGTTTTTGGTGTGCTGACCAGATCTGTGATGTTACTTCCTGTATCATAGATGGTTTGTAGACTCTTAATGGTTTGCAGTGACTGTCAGCTAACTCTGAAATTAGAGTAAATCTATTTTGATAGCTAATAAAATGTTTTGTTAGTATATCCATTTTACATAAAATAAAGTGTTTTGTTAATGCGTCATTTAAAAAAAAAAATAAGTTGAACGGTGATGGAGAACATTTGAGAGTGCGAGTGTGAAAGATTCTGTGTTAAAGTTCAGCAGGTCCTCAGCAATGAAGTTTTCCTCCAGACTCCTGTTCGGGCTCCTCATGCCATGCCTTTATTTCAGAGGTAAGAAACACCTTCTTAGCTGAAAAACTGGCTCAGATACTGTAGGACACTGTTTAGTATTGGTATAATACATAAAATAACTTAATATTCTGGGAGATGATGTTGCTTCCTTCCTGCCTTAGAAGAACACATTTACTTTTTTTTTAACAAACACCTGTCTATAAAACACGATTAATATGTAGTTGGTAATTTATTCATCTTTTAGGGCTGTCATACATTTGATCTGATAATCTGTTGAATTGTGCTAAAAATAAATAGTGTGCTAACTAATTTGTTAGTTATCTGTTCATTTGCTAAAATTGAAATGATATATTTTGCATTAAGAAATTGCTGAATTTAACAAGCAAATACAAACACACAAGTAGCATAATGAATTTAATCTGAAAAGTCAGATGTAGGAAACAGGAAGTATTTTCTTGCCAAACAGAACTGCTATTGAATTTTAACAGTAAATACGTGGAAATTGTTTTGATGTATAAGCATTTTAAAAAATTGAAGTGAAGGTAAAAGATTTTTACTATTACAGTTTAAAAAGATAGACTTTGGTAAATATACATTTTATTGTGTTTCGCAATTATCATATAAATCTTATATACTTTTAAATACTTATGTACTTTTATATACTTATATACTTTTTTCCACTACATAAATGAATTGGTTTTTATAAAGTATACACTGTAAAACCCAACAGTCAACTTTATCAAATGAAATAAATGTACTACTCATTTGAAAAGAGTTTTGAACTCAGTGTTGAAGGTAATGAGTTAATTAAATACCTCATCAACTTTAATGGAGTAAGTTCACAGTACTCATAGATAATTTTTTTTACTCAAATGGTTTGTAGCAATTGGTTTCCTTAAACGGTTTGAGTTGCTTCAACTTATTGAGTTTTACAGTAGTCTATTGGTTTAAGTTCTCCTCATTTATTGGGTTTTCACAAGTTCACAGTACTCATTTATTTATTTTTTTACTCAAATGGTTTGAATTGCCTTAACTTTTTGGGTTTTTACAGCTAAACTATATTTATATATTCAAAAGAAACCAGGGATGAAAAATAATAGGTTATTCTGGTACCAACATACTAGTGCTTAATCATTAAACTTGTTTCTAATTAAGTCTTTGTGAACCAGAAGTTGCTGCTGACTTCAATAACTGAAAAAGTATATTGAATAGGAGGCAACTTTTATTTTTGCATTGCTCCCCTCTTGTTTTGCTAACAGCAAATGAATGGTAGGAGGGGCATGGCTAAGACTATAGAATACACAATACTTGTCATTCGTATAGTTTTGAATGAGGAAAAGTGTAATGGTCAATATGATGAATGAAGCCCCGCCTACGAGTACAGGAAACAATCATCAATCACTATAGACTGGCATTTCTCCGGGGGACCAGGACCAGATGTCTGCTTTAACGACAACAATGTTTTGTGGTCAACAAACACACTGGAATCTCATCGAATACTTGCTTCACAGACATAAGACATAAATTCACATAAAGCTTGAAATCTCTACTTTTAAATGAACTCACTACACTTAAACAACAGTTTTCTGGTTTTGTAATCTGTATGAAACAAATGCGAGGTACAGTCTGTCCTGCCAAACACACATCACATGACAGCAACTACTCAAATGCCCACAAACTTGTAAACAAAGTCATTTCTGGAGGAGATTCACCATCAAGACAAAGTGAATTACTTCAGAAGAGCAGCTCGATCTGACAAAGCATTATTCACAGGATGATAAAGTGTAGAACGGCTATAAATGAGGTTGGTGTCGTGATCTCATTCCTTTCGAGTGTGCATGCGCATTAGCCCGGGCAACCTGAAAATATGCATATTTTGTTTGATTCGAATAATTAGAAATGAAACTTATGTGTCACAATCACCAGCGATCACTACTCCATAGATCGCTGGATCTCTCTCACAATAACTCATGGACTACAATTCCGCCATTTCTGGACTACATATTCATACATGCACTTCGCCCAGACACACATGCTTCCTCATCTAAACTGATTACATTCACACCACCTGAGGATTGTCAGAGACTGATTGCACACACTATTTAAGCCACACACTCACCCATTCAGTTTGCCGAGTCTTGTGCACTGTAAGTAGCACTACAACGCGTTTCCTAGTCTAGTTATCCTGTGTACCGACCTTATCCTTGTTAGCCTCCCTGTCTTAGTCTGCCACATGCCTTACAACCTCTCGCATGTTACTTCAACTACGATTCGATTCCGCCGCCAGAGTTGACGCCACCGCCAGAGCTGCCAGAGCTACTGCTGCCTGAGTCTCACAAAGGGTCCCAGACCATGACCAAACCCCAAGAGCTAACCCGCACCCAAAGGCGGAGGCTTAAGAGAAAGGCCTCTTCAGCGAGGGTCTCTTCAGTCCCAGAACGTCCTCCAGTGTCAGTCCCAGAGCGCAGCTCAGCCCAGCCCGACTCCTTGGCCTGCCGGCACCACCCAGACGTCTCACCCTGCCAGCACCAAGCAGACGGCTCACCCTTCCGGCGCCATCCAGACGGCTTGCCCTGCCAGCTACCCACAAGCCTCCAGCCATGCTGGCTCCCCGCAGTGCTCCAGGCCCTCTGCAGCCTCATGATCAAGGGCCACTGCAGCTCCACGCTCCAGGCCCTCCGCAGTCTCATGATCCAGTGCCACTGCAGCTCCACGCTCCAGGCCCTCCGCAGTCTCATGATCCAGTGCCACTGCAGCTCCACGCTCCAGGCCCTCCGCAGTCACATGATCCAGGGCCACTGCAGCTCCACGCTCCAGGCCCCCTCGCAACTCCAAGCTCCAGGCCTTCCGCAGCTCCACGCTCCGGGTCCTCCGCAGCTCCATGCTCCAGGGCCACTGCAGCTCCACTCTCCGGGCCCTCCGCAGCTCCACTCTCCGGGCCCTCCGTAGCTCCACTCTCCGAGCCCTCCGCAGCTCCATGCCCCAGGTACGTCCCCAGCTGCATGGTCCTGGCCCTCCATCCCTTCCCCTGTTCGCCTCCGCTCCACCTCCCGCCAGAACATTATTAGGAGCGTCTGGAAGCCACTCCTTAAAGGGGGGGGAGTTCTGTCACAATCACCAGCGATCACTACTCCATAGATTGCTGGATCTCTCTCACAATAACTCATGGACTACAATTCAGCCATTTCTGGACTACATATTCATACATGCACTTCGCCCAGACACACATGCTTCCTCATCTAAACTGATTACATTCACACCACCTGAGGATTGTCAGAGACTGATTGCACACACTCTTTAAGCCATACTCACCCATTCAGTTTGCTGAGTCTTGTTTACTGTAAGTAGCACTACAACACGTTTCCTAGTCTAGTTATCCTGTGTACCGACCTTATCCTTGTTAGCCTCCCTGTCTAAGTCTGCCGCCTGCCTTACGACCTCTTGCATGTTACTTCAATTACGATTCTGGATTGTCCTCACACACCTGCTTGCACCCGTATTGACCATTGCTTGCCTGACTAAGAATAAAACTGCTTTTGGATCTTACTTCAGTTGTATGTGTCACTTCCCGTGGTAACATTATGAGACAGATGATGTTTAATTTTATTTCCGATTCCAACTATGTAATGTAATCGTGAGCTTGGCAAACAGTTTTGGAGAATTTATTGTTTCTACATTCAGACAGAATGCTCGAGCATACTGCCCGAGAGGCATTTCAAAGATGGCCGCAATGTGAAATGGCTTGCCTTACTAGTATGATATTGATTTAAAGTGTATTCATATTTTCTTTATCAAATATGAACATTTGTGTGTTTCTTTTTTGTGTTTTTTACTTCTCTCGCAGGTTCAAGTGAGTTGTCTGTGAATCAGAGTCCATCCAGCATCACTGTGAATGAAGGAGAGTCTGCTCAAATCAGCTGCTGCTGGAGTACATCCACACACAGTGTTAAAGTCGTTTGGTACATCAATGAGACAAAACTTTCAGATCCAAAGCAGAAACTCCAAGATCATCAAAACATGAACTGTTCAATTCTCAACCTCACAAACATACAGAAGAATGATACAGGTCATTATGTTTGTGAAGTTACTCAAGATATACCAGTCCTGGAAAAGAAGAACGGCACTGGAACACAGTTATTTGTTGCAGTTAGTAAACTAGATGCAACTATGACTGGTATGATTCTTCTGTTTCTAGAATATTTTAATGCAAATTCCAGTCCCAAAAGTCATACCATCTGTTTATCATCTATTCAATAATCTAATTCTTCAGATGAAGTTTCTCATCTGCCTGAAACAACTGAGGCTTCAGACACAACATTAGATCCCATGTCTTCAGCTCTAGTCAGCACAATCGTCATGTCCACCATCTGCTCAGGTAATTTTTTATTTTTTTTTAATATACAGAACAATGTGAATATGCTGCAAGTACTGTATTCACAAATACTGTAAAAGTATTTACCCCCTTCTTGATTTGTCACACTTAAGTGTAATCAAACAAATGTTCGAATGACACAAATATAAATGCAGTTTTAATTGATGACTGCAGTCACTTTATTTTAATGGTGCCTTTAATACAATTTGTTTATTATACATTACATTGCAACTGCACACACACACACACACACACACACACACAAATGTTTGCTGTTCATTTAAACTACACATCTACAATAAGCTGAAACAACACAATTCTTGTGTTTTTATAAGAATTCAACTATTGTTTTATATTCAATTTACTTAAAATTGTGAAAACTGTTAAAAGTTAATGTAATTCCTATATGTTATTCCTACACAAAGATTGCATTTAACCCAACCTTTTTTTAAAATGTAATTTTCATCAGAGTATAAATCGACTATAAGGTCAGGGTAATGAGAATCAGTTGACATACTTGCAGTGTAACTAAGGGGTAGTTTACACATGGTCACTTCATGCATTTTCACTTATTAGATATCTGATTTGTGAAAACATTTCCCTTTACATTTGCCCACATAAATGTCTACACTGAATCGATATAAGTCCGATCTTCATTCGTATTAGTACTGTCAAAACAGGTTAAACAAAATATCTATTTTTGTTGTGTAGATACGCGTGCAAATGCCTCCAAAACTGTAACACAGCCTTTCAAAATGTTTTCACAACTTTGTACATGTACTTTCAAACTTCAAATCTTTCTCACAATACTTTATTATTGTTGTTTTTTGTCTTTAAAAACACATTTCTCTACTTTCTAGTCTTTCATCCATTAGTCATTTGATGCTTTTCTAAAGCAGTGTTTTTTTTGTGTGTGCCTAAGACCCCCTTTTCCCCCTGAAAATATTATAAGGCCCCTTCAACATTTAATGATATTATTGCTCATATAAGTTTGCAGTAAGGATGACAAAACTGAAAAGCATAAGCCTTTGGTCTATAAATTGGCTCTATATTAGTTGCCAATTTTATAAAGTTTCTTGTCAGTAGCTGTGACGTCCCTCATCTCATGTTGGGTCTGTGTCAATTCTTTTGCCTTCCGTTTAAAAAATGCCTGGGCCTGGTCTTGTCGTTCTATTGGTAATGAGCCATTTGCAAATGTCTTATTAATTTGGACGTCCTCATGCATGTGTTAGCAAGAACTTTGGTGCAGATAATACACTGTGGCGGGGTCAGGGACTCTTTGCTTTGAGAAAATAGAATAAATCCATAGTTCTGGTAACTATCTTGGTATATCCTGCCTTTCGTGCTTCCAGTATTGCTAGCGCTGCCACCCAAGATGTTTAGAGCTTCCTCACCTGGGTTCAGTATGGTTGGGTCAATAGCATTAGTTTTTTTTTGTGGAGGACGAATTACAAATTTGTAAATTGTTTTGATCAGCCAGGGAATAAAATTAACTAGGGCAAAATAATTGTTTTCCTAATTGTCAATTTTTAAAAATTACGCAACCCACCAGAGAGCTCGCTGAGGCCCCCTTGTGGGCCGGGACCCCCCTGTTGGAAAGCACTGCTCTAGAGATTGCAACAATCACTTTGTATAAAAGCATCTGCCAAGTGAATACATCAGTACATCATCATTTTTCATTTTTCTCGCAGGTTCAAGTGAGTTGTCTGTGTATCAGAGTCCATCCAGCATCACTGTGAATGAAGGAGAATCTGCTCAAATCAGCTGCTGCTGGAGTACATCCACATACAGTGTTAAAGTTGTTTGGTACATCAATGAGACAAAACTTTCAGATCCAAAGCAGAAACTCCAAGATCATCAAAACAAGAGCTGTTCAACTCTCCACCTCACAAACATATTAAAGAATGATACAGGTCATTATGTTTGTGAAGTGACTCAAGATATACCAGTCCTGCAAAAGAAGAAAGGCACCGGAACAAATGTATCCATCAGCATTATTGAACTAGAAACAACTACTAATGGTAAGAACATAACATCATGAAACTGAAGATGAACTTGCAACCAATACATGCAATATGTTGCTTAAGTGATGTAGCATCAGATCTAAAAAAGAAAGTTCATTCCTTTTTGCAGACAATATTCATGCGGTTTCCAAAATACCAATAGTCAGAGGAAACAGTAAGTGTTTTTGGGATATTTTTGTAAATTATTTCATTTCAGGTATTGATTTATGGATTGTGTAAGTGATTTAAGGTTGATTCATTTCACACAGCGAATGCCCTTCCAGCCACAACTGAGTACTGGGAAACACACTCATTCACACACACATACACTACGGCCAATTTTGTTTACCCAATTCACCTATAGCGCATGTCTTTGGACTGTGAGGGAAACTGGAGCACCTGGAGGAAACCTACATGAACACAAGAAGAACATGCAAACTCCACACAGAAATGCTAACTGACCCAGCTGGGACTCGAACTAGTGACCTTTTTGCTGTAAAGTGACAGTGCTAACCACTGAGCCACCGTGCCACGCTAAGTATTCATATAAAGCGGGTAAAATAAATATTGAACACGTCATGATTTTTGCTGCATGGTAAATATATTTCTTAAAGAGCTGTTGACTTGAAGTTGACCCAGATTTTGGTAAAAACTCTAACAATCCAAAGATACCAATAAATCAAATCAGATTTCAGCTTCTGTAGCCTCTCCATGCCTTCTCACACCTTCCTTGCTTCATGTTCATCTGAATTCTGGGTCACACTTTATTTTGATGGTCTGTTTGTTGAATTTAAGTTTCATTGCATCTACATGCCAACTAATTCTCATTAGATTATAAGTAGACTGTTAGGTTGGGGTTAGGTTTAGTGTAAGTTGACATGTATTTGCAAAGTTTCTTGTAGTCAGTTAAATGTGTGTTATAGGAGCAGTATCAGCAGATATTAGTCTACTAATATTCAAATACATCATCGAAGTAAAGTGTCACTGAATTCTGTATTTTTAAAGAGTTATAATTGTTCTTATGTATGGAATAATTTATGTATTTGGGATCGCAGGAAGACTTTTCTCTGTGTCATTTCATTTCATTACACATAAATTAAATTCTAGATCAATTAGGTTTTTTATATGTATGAATTACTTTGGTTATTACAAACATCTGGTGAAAATTTTAAGTCAACAGCATCTGTAAAAATATGTTTTAAGAGAAAAATGGCGACTTATTTTAACTGCTGTTTATTTTTATTAAACATGTTAAGTATGTTAAAACAGCAGGCTATTTAGTAGGGGTTTGATCATTACATTTTTTAAAATATATATAAACACAAGTGAATATTTGAAGCGGATCATTGACTTTAGTCAAAAGGCTACTATATATATATATATATTTGTTTGTTTTATTTTTTTTATGATTTTGTGAAGAACAACGGTTGTTTTTAAATGTGCTAAATAAGTGCAAATTGAAATTCTTTCAAATGTAGTGGTTATCACTTTTTTCTTACAGGTAGTTTGGGGAATGTCATGATGATTTACATTTTCAGAAGTTTGCCCTTCATCTGTCTGCTGTCAGCCTTCTTTTACCTCAATAAAACCTGCAAACGTGTCACACTATCAAAACCAGGTAACTCTTCAACCCCCTCACAAGTTATTTGCAATTTTAGGAGGGGATAATATGCAATATTATGAGGTCACACTTTGTTTTGATGGTCTGTTTGTTAAATTTAAGTTACATTGCATCTAAATGCCAACTAATTCTTATTAGATAATAAGTAGACTGTTAGGGTTAGGGTTAGTGTAAGTTAATGTACTTGCAAAGTATCTTATAGTCAGTTAAACGTCTGTTGAAGCAGCAGTATGAGCAAATATTAAGCAGACAGTCTAATAATACTCAAATGGACCGTCAAAATAAAGTGCTACCTAATATGATAACAATTGGTTCGATTATGTGACACTATGCATTTTTTCATGGAGCCTTGAAGTTTCCATCATCTCAAATCCTCTGACGTTTGTGGTGAACCACTTGGCAAACTGTATGTCCACAAAGCCATCCACACGGAGGTAAATGGTCAGCTTGTAGCGGGTGAAAGAAACATCATCATACCGCCCCGTAACGTTCGTTTTAAAAATGAAATGCAACCATACGTTTCTCTAGCTACATAATTTGTGATGTCCAGAAATGTATATAGGGCAACCTTTTCGAAATGAAAGAATTTCAGAGAGTTTCCACCCTACGTATCTGAAACAAAAATACAACAATAAAAAACAATCTTCAAATTTATGAAGCATTTATGACCTCACCTAGACTATCGTAAGAGTAAAACAAAATTAAAGTGGGGGGAGCTCGCTCTTAAACTAGTGTTAAATATACAGTTAAAGTCAGAATTATTAGCCCCCCTTTGTTTTTTTTTCTTTTTTTAATATTTCACAAATGATATTAAACAAAGCAATGAATTTTTCACATTGTGTTTGGTAATATTTTTTCTTCTGGATAAAGTCTTGTTTGTTTTATTTAGGCTAGAATAAAAACAGTTTTTAATAAAAAAAAAAAACAATTTTAAGGACAATATTATTAGCTCCTTTAAGCTAGTTTTTTTGATAGTCTACAGAACAAACCATCATTATACAATACAATAACTTGCCTATTTACCCTAACCTGCCTAGTTAACCTATTAACCTAGTTAAGCCTTTAAATGTCACTTTAAGCTGTATAGAAGTGTCTTGAAAAATATCAAGTAAAATATTATTTACTGTCATCATGATAAAATAAATCAGATAAAATAAATCAGTTATAGAAATGAATTATGTAATAAAAGTATTATGTTTAGAAATGTGTTGAAGAAATCTTCTCACTGTTAAACAGAAATTGGGGAAAAATAAACAGGTGGGCTAATAATTCTGACTTCAACTGTAAGTGACATTCAAACCTAATTGTGCACAATGCATGTCGCACAATATTCTTACCTGTCCCACTCTTCAACCTCAGATGAGTGTT